AATGTATAATCCTCATCCCCTCAACCATAAATCTAAATCATCAATCTTCTACTTACCTTCATAGATTCCCTTCCGACCCTTCACACACCATATCCACCATCCATCCTTTACCTCCCTACCCATCCTTTTTCTTATCTCCCTCATTAACAGACTCCTTTATTTTCCTTTTGCCTTCAGGGTCTGCTGAAATCCCCCTTCCGCTTCCGCCTGACCTACAAGACACTCCGACACAGCGACGCTCTTCTGCGCTACGGGAACGTGACCAACCCCAAGTACAGAGGAGACCTGGTGGACGGTGAGTTGTCTGGTGTGGGTGTGGGAAGGGTTGGATTAAGTGTGTGGAGGATGGAGGATGTTGGTGTACGTGGGTGGGATTGGCGGGTGTGTGGGTATGTGTGGTAGGTGGTGGGAAGGTATGTGTGTGGTGGGGGGGGAGGTGTAGGGAAGGGTGTGTGTGGGGTGTATAGAAGTGGTGTATGGAAGGGTGTGTGTGTGTGTTATGTGTTCATGTTTGTGTTTATGTACGTATGTGTTCTTGATTTACACAAACTCGTTCTTTCAGATATTAGTATTTTTTTGTAGATTGACGACGCTTTTCTTCAGAGGAAACATGGCCATCACAAGTGGGCGAATTGCTAGTCTAAAAGTGAATTTTCTGAAGTTACCCAAGCGATAAATGAATACAATCCTCCATAATTATCCCTCAGAATAAATCGATACGCACGCTTATAGACACAGATAAATTAGACAAATGATAAACTGCTCTCGTGTATACCGCTTTTCGTGCCAATTTATGAATAATTCAGATGGCTTCATTCCTCAGACCTAGAGCCTAACCGTTCGTCGAATCAGACTTCCCAGAAATTTATCTCCTCCATCAAAGAAATCAGGAAAAAAGGAAGAAAAAAAAGTACCAAAGCCTCTATATTTATCTCGTCTTTTAATGAAAAAAATGTAAATAGATTAGTTCATCTAATAAAGAAAAAAATGTGATAAAGATATATAAGTGATAATAATAATGATATGAAAATAAACAGTTTCAATTTTCCACGAGATTTTATATGTATCTAATCCACTGAGAAAAAAGAAAACGATTTTTCCATTATGAAAAATAAAAAGTTATAGATAATCAGATAAACAGAGAAATAAATATCTCAACCCCCCATCCTCTATAGACCCTCCACCTGCCCGGGCTAGAGCACCCCCAAGTATCCTCATATTCTCAGATGAAATTCAAGACTCAGAGATATATAGTTTTCTCTCTCTCTCTCTCTCTCTCTCCTCTCTCTCTCTCTCTCTCTCTTCTCTGTCTCTCTCTCTCTTCTCTCTCCTCTCTTTTTTTTTCTTCTTTTTTTTCGTCCTCCGCCTTTTCAGACAAAGCGGTTCCTAGGCTGTGTTTTCCCTGTGTTAGTCAGAAAGACAGCTAATGCATTTTTCGTGTTGTCGGTTCCCACCTCTTTGGCGTTTCTGGGGATTCTCCGTCTTGCCTGCCATTGGAATTTTCTTTTTTATTATTATTTTTTTCTATTTGTTTATTCTTTTTTTGGGGGGGGAGGTTATTCTCTTTTTTCTGTTTGTTTCTTTTTAAGCTTTCTTATTTTCTTCTTTTTGCTTTGTTTCTGTTTTATTTTTTATTTATTTATATATATATTTTTTAGGTTTATAGTCTCTTTTGTGTTTTTTGGGTTCTTAGTTATACTTTTCATTTTTGGGGGTTGGGGTGGGGGGTAAGGAGGTGTAGGGATGGCGTTTTTATGACGTTTATTTATTACTTGGATGTTTCTTCGTCTTTTTTTCATTTTTATATATTTTTTTTCTTTCATTTCCCCTTGTCTCTCTCCTTTTGTCCTACTTCTCTTTTTGTATTCCTCCTTTTCTTTCTCCTCTCTCTTTTCATTTCCTTTTCCTCAGTCCCTTTCTCCTTCCATAGTTCTTTTATCTCTTTTTCTTCTTCATTTCCTTATTCTGGACTGTCTGAAGATACAAGTCAGTGTCATGCATAGTATACTAGACCTACAAGTATTACTACTACTACTATTATTATTATTGCTACTACTACTACTACTATTACTATACTACTACTACTATACTACTATTACATACTACTATTACTACCTCTGCTACTACTGATACTACTACTAGTACTACTAATATTTGTGCTATTACTACCACTGTTACTACTACTACTATTACTACTACGACATTTGCTACTGCCACCACTACTACAACCATCACCTCCACTATTACCACAAATTACATGGTTCTACCCCACAACATGCACTGCCAGACGATTCCCTTCACAAAACCAACCAGGTGAATCGCCACAGTGAACACCTGGCATCAACACTGGCACCCAATTTCCATAGTCCGGATATCAGCTGACTCGGATATCAGCTGACTTGGATATCAGCTGACTTGGCCGGCAGCTCGGACTTCACACAAGCTCTCCCTCTATTTCCTTTTGCCTGCGGGGTTGAGGGAGGGGTGGGGGGGATGGGGAGGGTGAGGGGGAAGGGTGATGAGGGGGTTGATATTAGATAATAATTTTCTGCTTGTGATTTATCCAATGTATATTTCATTATTATTATTATCACTATTATTATTATTATCATTATTATCATCGTTATTATCTTCGCCATCATTCTTATTGCTTTAATTGATGTTATTACTGCTTCCACTGTTGCTACTTTGATCATTATTATTACACATTCATCTTCATCATTATTATTGTTAAAAATAAAACTTATGATTATAATAACAATGGTAATAATAATAATAGTAATGATAGCAATAATAATCATGATAATGATAGCAATAATAATCATCATGATGGTATTAGTAATGATAATGATAATTCAACGCAGATGTAGAAAATATGCACAGAATCACTCACTAACAATAAATGTAGTCCGTTATACGAGAACGAGCGAGATAATCGCGATAAGACAAAAAAAAAAAAAAAAAAAAAAAAAAAAAAAAAAAAAAAAAAAAAAAAAAATATTTATATATATATAATATATATATATATATATATATATATATGCATATATATGCATATATATGCATATATATGTATATATATGCATATATATGTATATATATACATATGTATATATATACATATGTATATATATACATATGTATATATATACATATGTATATATGTATATATATATATATATATATATATATATATATATATATATATATATATATATTATATATATATATATATATATATATATATATATATATATATAGACACCACACACACAACCACACACACACACACACACACAAAATATATATATATATATATATATATTATATATATATATATATATATATATATATATATATAATATATATATATATATATATATATATATGTATATATATATATATATATATATTATATATATATATATATATATATATATATATATATGATATATATATATATATATATATATTATATATATATATATATATATATATATATATATAATATATATTATATATATATATATATTAGCTCCATCGTAGGAACTCTTTGTAACTGGATCTTCGATAAACTCGTAACGTTCTTGTTTACATCGTGTTATCTGAATACCGCGGGGGGGGGGAGGTGAAACTTCAGGGAAGGAAAAAGATTGAAGAAAAATCTTAAGTTCTCCAACAAACGAAAGAAAGAAAAATATCGAACAAGGGAAAGAAACAGATAAACCAACTTTCTTCCATAAGAGCAATCATTCTGCTATCTCTTTGTTGATATTGTTTATTTTTTTTTCTTTTTACATTTTCTTTTCTTCCTGTCTCTGTGCTGTGTGGTGCGTGGGTAGCGCTGTCGTCTCGCAGTCTTTCTGACCAGCGTTCGATTCCCGCCCAGTGGATGGTAACCCCGGCCATTCCACGCACACAGGGGGTCGTTTAGAAGCACAATTAACATACACAATTTGACTGATGTCATAGTTGACCCTAAAATTATTTATTTGTGTAGCGTGTATGTGTGTGTGTATGTGAGGAGTGTGTGTGCGTATTTCTGTTTGTTTGATTGTGTATGTGCGTGTTCGCCTCCGTGATTCCATGTTTATTTATCTGATCGTGTGTGGTTTTGTGCTGTTCTGTGATGAGCAATCAGATGAAAAAACTTCATTAGTAAAATTTTAAAAAAAATAAAAAGATAATATAATAAATAAAAAATAAAAATAAGTAAATAAATAAAAAAATACTATAATAAATAAAAAATAAATAAAAAGATACTATAATGAAAACAAAATAACATACGGCCGCTAACCCCGCCCCAACCCCCCTCCCACAGGCACCCTCTGCGACCGCATCTTCCTCAACTGCGACGAGTACAACTGTGCCGTCCAGAGCCCCAACTTCCCCGGCCTGTACCCTCGCCACGTCACCTGCCACTACCTCATCCGGCAGACCCGCTACGTCCCCTTCGCCAGGCCCCTCATCAGCATCCTGCAGGAGGACCCGCTCAAGTTCAATGTCAAGGACCGGTCTGCTTTGCCCAACCAGGGGTCCTCCTCGAAGGGACTGCAGGTAGGATTGGGGAGAAGGGAGGGAGGGGGGTTGAGGTGGGGTGGTGCTGGAGGAAAGGTGGAGTTTGCCTCTCTCTCTCTCTCTCTCTCTCTCTCTCTCTCTCTCTCTCTCTCTCTCTCTCTCTCTCTCTCTCTCTCTCTCTTCTCTCTTTCTCTCTCTCTCTCTCTCTCTCTCTCTCTCTCTCTCTCTCTCTCTCTCTCTCTCTCTTTCTCTCTTTCTCTTTCCCTCTCTCTTTCTTTATTTCGTCTTTCGTTTTCTCTTTCCTTGTCTTATTCTGTTTCATTTATTTGTTTTTCTTTTTATTCTTTATTCTTAGGAGGCTTATCTGAATTGGAAATCAGTATCGTATGTTTGTTTTCGCTTCCTCTTCTTTTTCTTTCTTTACTTTTCTCGTGCGTCTACCAGCGTTCTGACGAAGCGCCTTTCCTTGGCAGATCTGGGGCGCGTGCGACCTGGTGCACGACCACCTGCTGGTGTACGACGGGAACTCGACGGACGCGCCGCTGTTCCTGAAGGTGTGCGGGTCGGGCGCGCTGCCGCCCATCACGTCGACGGGGCCCGACATGCTGATCGTGTTCAGCACCTCGCGCTTCGACGAGCCGACGCAGGAGACGCTGATGCCGCGGACGCTCGGCTTCGAGCTCAACGTCAAGGTCAACTACCTAAGCATGGACTCGCGGGAGTTCGCGCGCAACCGCCAGTGCACGTTCCACATCTTCGGCGCGAACAACGCCAGCGGCGAGGTCACGTCGGTGGTGAACACGCAGCCGCAGAACTCGTCGTGCGTGTACCTGTTCCACGGCGAGCCGCACGAGGTGGTGTGGGTGCACTTCCGCAAGTACGAGATCGCGCCGCGCATGGGCCACTACACCGGCAACATCACCGAGTGCATCAACCCGCTGCAGATCTACGACGGCAACTTCTTCGACCCGAGCACGCCCTACGGGTCGCCGCGGCGCGCCAAGCTCATCCAGGAGCACTGCACGACGCGGCCGCCGCCCATGTGCGCGCGCGAGTAACTCCCGTCGCGCCCCGGCCTGGCCGCGCCCGTCAAGGCCTGCACGAGGAACGAGAGCTACGTGGCCAGCGGACCCAAGCTGACCGTGGTGCAGCACTACAACGAGTCCACGGCCGCGCTGGCCATGGACTTCATCCTCAGGTACGAGTTCGTCAACACCGCGCCGGGCTACCAGCCGACCAACGGCAGCGAGTGCGACTTCGAGGCCATCAGCGACGGCTACTCGCTGCGGACGGGGCGCGTGTTCTCGCCGCGGACGTCGGTGCTCTACGGCAGGTGGGGCCGCAAGAAGCTCTCGTGCCAGTACCGCCTCACGGCCCACAGCGACGAGGTGGTGCGCGTCACCATCACCAAGTTCCACAGCGTCTCGCGCTCCTGCGTCACCACCACCAACAACTTCACGAAGGGCTACGACTGCGACAACCTCTCCGGCCAGACGGCGTCGCTGGTGCTGTCCGAATACCCGTGGCAGGACATCGAAGTCCCGAGACTCTGCACGTGCGACTACTCGGCCATTCCCATCGAATACGAATCGAAGTCACAAGAAGTGCGGCTCAGATTTGAAGTCGACAACATGGATGACAATCACGACTACATGGACTTCATGTTTGAGGCCCAGTACGAGTTCATTAAGAAGTCCTCCTGCAAAAAGGTGCAGAGGCTGCAAGGTACAAACGGCCAGATTGTGTTCCAGAGAGCCAACAAGACGGAGGACAAGCCGTGCGACAGCTACCCGTGGCTCCTGCAGACGTCGGACGCCCAGAAGTCGATATACTTCAGAATACGAGGCTACGACCACATCGACAAGAACTGCTCAACCTCCACCCGCCTGCTGGTGTTCAAGGTGGGGCGGCTGCGGCCCGTCGGCGTCCTGTGCCCCGACCCGACCAGCAAGAACGTCGTGGAGCTCTTCAGCTTCGCCTGGCAGGGCTCGGGCACCCTGGTGGAGCAGTCGACGGACAAGCTGGTGCTGGAGGTGTCGGGGCGCGACCCGACGCGGGACTCGGGGCCGCACACGCTCTCCTGGCTGCAGGTGTCGCCGGCGCGGCAGTACGACTGGTCGGCCGAGGGCATCGTGCGCGGCTGCCAGCAGGAGTGCCCCGAGCTGGGCGTGTGCATCAGCGAGGACCTGTGGTGCGACGGCATCCACCACTGCCCCTCGGGCCACGACGAGCTCATCGCCCACTGCTTCTTCCTGTCGGTGCCGTGGGCGTACATCGGCGTGGGCTCGGCGCTGAGCATCCTCTTCCTGGTGGGCGTGACGGTGTACGGCGCCGCCAGACTGCGGGCGTCCGACCACAAGACGCACCAGCACCAGCCCATCCCAACGCTGCCCACGGCCTCCGAGTCCCTGTTCTCCTCCGACAAGGACGCGGCGGAGCGCGACGGCGGCGTCACCTCCGCCTACAGCCTGGACTACAGCGAGGTGGACTACGTCACGACGTTATGAGGCACGCACCCGCTAGCCTCCCTCACCTCCGCGCAGTCACTCGCCTCCTTCGCCACCACCCAGCCTTCAGTCACTCGCACAACCGACCAACAGCGCACCACCACCGCCCGCCATCGCCGCCGCCGCCGCGCGCCGCCACCTCCCGTCAGCAGTCCCGACCCCGCCGCCACGCCCGCACCTCCTCCATGACGCGCCCCTCCGCCCCTCCGCCGCCGCGCCGCGCCCGCGCGAGCGAGTCGGCCGAGACCATCTACGCGACGGTGAACCGGGCCACCGCGCGGAGGAACAACCCGGGCGCCATTCCGCTGGCGTTCGGCTCGCTCAACCTGTACTCCCGCGCCGCCTCGACGCCAACGGGAGCCTCACCTTCTCCCTCCGCCAACGCGCCCTCGTCCCACCCCTCGCCGCCCTCGGACACGCCCACGAGCCACCCGCGGCGCGCTCCGTAGCGGACCCGAACTCACCCGAACGCGGG